GCCCTCCACGCCCTCTTTCGGCCATGGCTCGCGACGTGAAGAGCAAACTGTCCAAAAACCTTCTCCGCATGAAGGTAATGGGGCGGCGGGAGGGGGAGAAAGAACCGGTTTCACGGCTCTTTCGGGAGTGGGCGGGGTCTAGACGGCTCTTCCCGAGCGGCTTCGGCAAGCGTCGGCTAGCCCCTCCCACTTCCGAAGCCCTTCGGCTGCGGGAGGCGAGGGGCGGGGAGAGGAGCCGAGTGGTCTCGGGAAGAGTCGCTAGGCCCCTCCCACTTCCGAAGCCCTTCGGCTGCGGGAGGCGAGGGGCGGGGAGAGGAGCCGAGTGGTCTCGGGAAGAGTCGCTAGGCCCCTCCCTCTTCCGAAGCCCTTCGGCTGCGGGAGGCGAGGGGCGGGGAGAGGAGCCGAGTGGTCTCGGGAAGAGTCGCTAGGCCCTCCCTCTTCCGAAGCCCTTCGGCTGCGGGAGGCGAGGGGCGGGGAGAGGAGCCGAGTGGTCTCGGGAAGAGTCGCTAGGCCCCTCCCTCTTCCGAAGCCCTTCTGCTGCGGTTGGTGAAGGGCGGGAGATCTGAGTGGCTTAGGCAAGCGTGGGCTAGGCCCCGCCCACTTAAGAAAGCCCTACAAGAGCCGCGTGGCTTCGGGAAGAGTCGGCTAGGCTCCTCCCACTTCCGAAGAACTACGAGTGAGGAAGGCGGAGGGGAAAGGGAGCCGAGTGGCTTCGGGGAGATAGTATGATAGCTGGATCCGGAAGCTCAGAGCGTTACACTGTTTCCGCTTCTCTCCTTCGGGGGCGCTGTTTGCATTGGTCTTTTTATCATCTTACTTAGGCGATCCCTCGTTGGACGAGTAAGATGGTCTTCCTTGATGACTTTTAGTGGGTTTGTAGGTGGCTGTGGAGCCCTATTCTTGACCCGCATCTTCTCCCACAGTGAAGGCATTGGTTTCCAGGTGGAAGGCGGTCCCGGTCGGGGTTGGCTTGACGCGCCTTCCTCCTGGCACGTTTCTCTCTTTCACCCTCCACTCGTGCCTCCTCGAATTCTGCAGCACTGCTGGTCACAGCTGACCTCCAGCTGGAGCGCTCAAGGGCCAGGGCTTCCCAGTTCTCAGTGTCTATGCCAGAGTTTTTAAGGTTGGCCTTGAGGCCATCTTTAAATCTCTTTTCCTGTCCACCAACATTCCGTTTTCCGTTCTTAAGTTCGGAGTAGAGCAACTGCTTTGGGAGACGGTGGTCGGGCATCCGGACAACATGGCCGGTCCAGCGGAGTTGATGGCAGAGGACCATCACTTCAATGCTGGTGGTCTTTGCCTCTTCCAGCATGCTGACATTTGTCTGCCTTTCTTCCTAAGAGATTTGCAGGATTTTCCGGAGGCAGCGCTGATAGAATCGTTCCAGGAGTTGCATGTGAGGTTTGTAGACAGTCCACGTCTCACAGGCATATAGCAGGGTTGGGAGGACAATAGCTTTATAAACAAGCACCTTGGTATCCCTACGGATGTCCCGGTCCTCAAACACTCTCTGCTTCATTTGGAAAAATGCTGCACTCGCAGAGCTCAGGCAGTGTTATTTCGGTGTCGATGTTGACTTTGGTGGAGAGGTGGCTGCCAAGGTAGCGGAAATGGTCAACATTTTCTAATGTTACACCATTAAGCTGTATCTCTGGCATTGGAGAGGGGATGGCTGGTGACTGCTGGGACAGCACTTTGGTTTTCTCGATGTTCAGTGACAGGCCAAGCTTCGTGTATGCTTCTGCAAAGGTGTTTAGAGTGGCTTGTAGATCTTCTTCTGTATGCGCACAGACGACATTGTCATCAGCATACTGGAGTTCTATAACCACACTGTTGGTTCATGTTCAGCTTGTGGGAATACATCTGCTTATTTTTAATAACATTAATTTTTAATTCTGAATTGATGTTTGTATTAGTACAAAAAAAAGATTTTTTAAAAAATAATTTAATAATTAATTTACGAGTGTTATCCGGAAAGTAAAGTCACAAATTTTTTTAAAATACAAAGAATGAATCTGTTTTAATAAAACGTACATGGATTGTCGCCTAGGGATTACATTATTTTTCCACATAATCACCATTTAGTTCAATACATTTGGTCATCCGTGGGACAAGTTTTTGATGCCTGTGTTTCCCTCCGCCTTTTTCAGCCAGTTCATCTCTTCGATTTTCACCTCATCATCGTCAGAAAAGTATTTCCCACCCTTCAGTTGAGTGAACAAATGATAGTCCCTGGGTGCGAGATCAGGGCTTTGGGAGGGGCGGCTCAAAACATCCTAACCAAATGAAGTCAGCCACTGTTATGTTGCATGAGCGGTGTGCAAATGTGCATTGTCATGAAGGAGACCATCACCATCCACATCCCACCATGTTTGTTTTGGATGGGTCTGCGAAGTTTCTTCATGGTCTTACAATATATTCCGTACCCATTTTGTCACATGCTGTCACATTACGTCCTCTCCATAAACTGAAACACATATTATAGCGTTTAGTTTTGTGGGTTTTTTTTGTCATGTCAGGAGCGACTTGAGAAACTGCAAGTCGCTTCTGGTGTGAGAGAATTGGCCGTCTGCAAGGATGTTGCCCAGGGGACGCCAGGATGATTTGATTTTTTTTTTATCATCCTTGTGGGAGGCTTCTCTCATGTCCCCGCATGAGGAGCTGGAGCTGATAGAGGGAGCTCATCCTCCTCTTCCCGGATTCGAACCTGCAACCTATCGGTCTTCAGTCCTGCCAGCACAGGGGTTTAACCCACTGCGCCACCGGGGGCTCCATTATAGCGCTGAGAAGTTGGCACTTGGGGAGGAACAGAATGGGGAGGCTCACCTCTAACCTTCACCAAAACGCTAGTTGATGAGCTACATGCGCCTGGCATGGCTCATTCACTTCTGCTGGCTTCCTGCTACACAGCAGTGAGACCAACTTCCCCCAAGAACAGGGATGGGCAACCTTTTGAGCTTGGTGTGTCAAATTTTTCCAAAAACCTGAGCATAACTTGGGTGGGGTGTCAACTTCGAGAAAAAAACACATAATTTTGCAATATTTATAGTTTAAATAAGAAAAATGTATATTCCATGCTGAGTTATGGAGTGAACAATGCTCAAACATGCAGATGTTAAATTTGTAGAGCCTTTTACAAATTTAAGGATGGAATTAGATTGGCTCTTATAAGGTGTACTTCTCTGTATGCAGCCGCATGTGGCCGCGTGTCATCAAAAATAGCCATGCGTGTCAGTACTGACACACGTGTCATAGGTTCACCATCATGGCCCAAGAAGATTCCCCATGAGAGAGAGCTACGTGCCTTGGAACCTTACTTTCCAGATAACCCTTGTAATTATGTATTTAAAATATTGATACAAAAAAGAAAAGCAACAAAAAACACAGGATCATATAACCGCATCTCTGTCTACGAACCCACGCATTCACTTCGGTCATCTGGAGAGGCCCTGCTCGTGATCCCGCCTGCGTCGGGAGATGCTAGCGGGGTACAAATAAAGTTTAATAATAATAATAGTAATAATAATAATATGTTGCTTCCTAGACTGCTAGGGTCTGATTCCCCTCCAGATACCAAAATCTGTGGATGCTCAAGCCCCATTAGATACAAGTGGACAGAAATGGTGCCTGTTCTATAAACAGCAAAATCAAGGTTTTTCTCTTTGGGTTTCCAAAAATATTTTCAAGCCGTGGATGGTAAAGGGCCGGCAGCGCACGTCTACGTCTGCTGACAGAATCATGTAAGCAAAGAGATAGATTATGATTTCTATTTCTAGGGTCAAATTCCAACTGTGAGCCAAGGAAACTAATGAAGCCAAGGGGAATTTGGTAAATCAGCACTTGGGTCCATTCCACTGACACAGTGGAGATCAATAACAACAATGGAATGTAGACCTAGAAAGAGGAAGGGGTGAGCCAAAGAGAAAGGCATATTGGAACAGAAAATGACAAAGATCCCCAAGTCAGCCTGGAAATCCCTGGCGTCATGCTGGAACTAGAAAGAAAAAGAAGCCCTGGCGGTTGCCAGTTCACACCAGCCCAGCATGCAACAAAAGCAGGAGGAGTTCTATCAGAATGAACGAAGAAGTTGAATTCCAAAAGGGATGTGTGTCTTTAATTCTTGGTGGCACCGTCCCATCTCCCAATGGGACTATGTCTGCATCCGCACTCGGCTGTACTCTGTCTCCACCCTCCTTTCCTGCCCTCTAAGACGGATGTCCCCTCGACTAATGCCTTCATATTCACAGCATCGGCATCGTTTCTCAGATGTGCAGCTGCAGGGTCACATCCGGGCACCCGGGTCTACTCTGTGGCGGGAAAAACGATAAAACCAGTCCTTTATAGATTGATATATCACATGTAATTCATTTTAAAATGAGGCTGAAGCGAGCGGGTGATTGGGAGGACGGGCACAGCATTTGTGTGCCACAGCCAGTTGATCCTCTTCCATCCCAAGAGAGGCTGATTTACAAGTAAAAGCATTAGGTGGATCTGCATTGGTTCCAGAGGTTTGGAGGGATGCACCTTTTGGGTCTA